ATCCAAGACACTTGAGTTTGCACGGATGCTAGTGCCAGTGGCGTGCTTCACAGATTTTTGGCAACTGTTTCTATGATTTTCAAAGTCGTTTGTTCAGTTCTCTTTCCTTGTTTCTTCATCAGAGATTCAGTTTGATTAAAAGGAACGGTTTCCGTAATCCCTATGGCCACATAGATTCCTAAGGTAATCAAAAGTGGTCCCGAATAACATCTAAGTGAGAGGCTTTGTAGAATAATTAGTTTGCCTCTCTTTTGGACTTAGCTGAAGGCTTAATCATGTTACCGAAAAAGATTGTCCTTATCCATGTCTGCTATATACGTGAAAGTTGAAGGTAAACACATTACTCATTTTACTTCAGTGTTTGCCAAGGATTCTAATTCTGGTTGAAATTACGGAAATCCTGCCTCCCAATTTCAGAGTCTTAGAAGTAATTGAGATAAATAAGAAAATCAAAAATGTATTTCGATGCTTTACACCTCACTTCCTGTTCATCTCAGTCAAACGTCTGTTTTTTGTGCTTCCCTCTCAACACCAAGGTAACCATATGCAAATAATGATTATTTCGTTTCTGACTGAATGGTTATCTAGTAAATATTAAAGAGTGGTGAGTTCGTTTACTTCTCAAAAGGTTAACAGCACACTCTAAATTCAAATCAGTTTTTCTCTATTTTATTTATTAAGCAAACGAATGTCTTCATAAACTGCTTCCTTACTTGGACATGCAAATATTTACTTGAATCCATACTGACTGATATTAACGGCTATCACTTGATAATAAAGGTTTAAACATTGAGAATATGAATAACCCACTGTAAGACTGGATTACATATATGTTTGTCACATGATCGTAACCAGTGTAACTGTAACCTTCATAGTGCCAAAACTCAACCGACATATGGCAACCCACCGACTAATCTCTATTCACTGCACTAGTGAATCTTTTTGTGCTAGCGCCTCTGACTTTATCACCGAACGATGAAAGTTCGAATATCCGAGACGATATTAGTTTCCTTAAGTGTAAACACACCTTGCGGCTGACCGCTAACAAGTACTAGGTATAACATAACAGCTTTTTTTTTGTAGCACTAGAAAAGTTTGTTTCTCTCGAAATTTTGAGTGGGACGGGACATATATATATGTGTGTGAATGCTTAGGTTCTTGGCGAACAAACATCAACTTTATCTGTCTTACTTTCAACATTGTTGTTTGACTGATTCCCACTACCCATATTCGTCTTTAAAAATAATCTTATTTCCCAAGTCTATAAGACAGTATTTGGATGTCACTTTTCCTCAGGTCATTAGTTGTTTTGTCAGTTGTTCACTGAAAATATAACATTAAATTAAATCTTATCGCATATTATCATGCTTTAGTCTGAATTGTGTATAAACATTTTTATGCGTGAAAACTTATGATTTTGAAAAATTCGAAGAAAGAATTGAAACTAAAAAACTATTAAGTAAATCCTATACTTCTACGTATTCACAAAAACGACACAACAAGAAAACTTTGCCTAAACTAATGAGAATTTAACAGCCCTAGCAATCTGAAGTATATGGTAAGTCAACTTTTAAAGTATAAGATTTCAAACGCATAACAAATTTAGGTGACTACTTTGCTGAACAGCTGTTTTTACAGTCTCCTTTGTTCAAATTATCCCCATCTTTAGCCTTACATGCTGGTTTGTGTGCAGATGTATCTGTTGTCCTTGTTACTATCATACAAATCGATACATTTTATTATTCACTGAATGATAAAACAAATGCCTACCTTTTCTGATACAGAAAATAAAGAAGCATCAAAATCAAGATGAATATTTCTGCCTTGAAAATAGATTGGTCTCTGATCCTTAACATGAATAACAAGATTTTATGAAGAGTAACCAATTAATTTTACTTAAAATGCGAATTGTCGTAGTGAAGACCAATAATACTTGTACAGTGTCACATTAATAATTGAATTATAATAACCTAGAATTCAACATCCACTTTACTTAAAGAAGTTACGATACCTACAGAACTAAATATTACTTTTATCTGAAGTTATGTCAAATAGTTACTTATTTGTGATGCTTGATAGTACTTTAAATTTGAATCATTAAATTTTTCAAGGACGTGTTACCTTTCAATAAACGTCTAAGACTAGTTTAAGCGAAGATAATCCAAAGAAACGGTAAGTATGCCGAAGCCTACATCAACAGAGCAGTATCTACATTTCTACATTTTCTTCTCCCATCTAAAACAAGCGAGGTCTAATAAAATGACTATTTCATAGGACCTATCCTCTTCGTACACTAGATCCAATGGATGAAGATGTCATATTACTGACCAAAACACTTACGGAAAATAGATATCCATAGAAGTTCACAAAGCGTTATAAAAGTCAGTTGAAAACAAAGCCCAGTCTATACTTGGTTCCTGGAAAAGAAGTTCATTACACTCTGCCATACAGCATAGAGCTCAATAGTATAATTTTGAGACGGAGGTTAGGATCTCCCATTAGTTATATATATTTTGCAGCCAAGATTATCACCCGAAAAAATATAAAAAAACACATACCTGAAAACCTTCAAAAACAGTTGGGTTGAGAGAAAACTTTCTTTCTCAGCTAAATATATAATGAAAATGGGTAACAGAACTAATGTTTGAATATCTTTCAAAGTTTTATGTGGAAGTAGTCAGAGACGCATACGGAGAGTTACATAAACACTTGCCATTATTATTATTATTATTATTATTATTATTATTATTATTATTAGTCCCTTGGGTTCCTAGTGGAACATAGGGCTTCAGTAGCACGTCTCCAGTGACCTCTGTTCTCTGAGATCTTTTGAACCTGGTCCCACGACAGCCCACAACCTCTCACTTCCTCCTTGCACGACCTCCTCCATGTCACCCTCGGACGTCCAACTCGTCGCTTCCCATGGGGATTCCACTCGAGCAACTGGCCTGACGCGTGATGTCCTCAGTCGGCCTTCTCAGTGCATGGCTAATCCATCTCCACTTCCTCCTGCATATTTGTTGCGTGATAGGTTCTTTGTTGGTTCGTTCCCAGAGTTCCTTGTTGCTTATTTTTTCTGGCCATCTGATCTTCAGCAGCGAGCGTAAGCAGTTGTTGATGAATGTCTGTAGTTTGTTGGAAATGCCTTTCGTGACGCGCCAAGTCTCTGAGCCATACAAGAGCACTGGCTTGACGTTGGTGTTGAAAATCCGTAACTTGTTCCGCATGCTGAGTGCAGAAGATCTCCACACTGGTTTCAGGCTAATGAACGCCTGTCTTGCTTTTCCGATTGTGACTTTGACGTCCTCGTCTGTCCCGCCTGTAGTTGAAACAGTGCTTCCTAGATAAGTGAAGGAGGTTACTTCCTTCAAGTTTCTCCCGTTGACAGTGATTGGAGTTTGTTGTTGTTGTTGATGGTGGTGGTGCGGTATCTTCATCACTTCTGCTTCTCTATATTCACCTGAAGTCCCGTCTTAGCTGCCTCTTCTATCAGCTTGTTAGTTTTTGCCTGCAGATCTTCCAGTTTGTGTGACATTAGGCATAAGTCATCGGCGAAATCCAAGTCTTCTAGGTTCTTTTCCGTCGTCCAGTGTATCCCCCTCTTCTCGCTCCCCACTGTTTGCTGCATGATCCAGTCGACCACACTCAGGAATATCATGGGTGATAGTAGGCAGCAACCTTGTTTCACTCCTGTCTTCACCTCACTTCAAAAGCATCACTGAGCTGAGCTTCCCATTGTGGATTACTTGGCATGTGGCATCTTCATTTAGTTGTTGAATGAGGCTGATAAAGGTTTGCGGTACTCCGTAGTATTGAAGCAGTTTCCAAATTACTTCTCGGTCGACGCTGTCAAACACTTGCCATACACAAACTGAAATCACCTTCGTCTGTGCGAAAATATTTCCTCTTACACTTAACCTGCCATTGGAAAACTTCGTTTCGTTACGCGATTGGGTCAGAACATTCCATTCTTCGTTTTTCATCTTTTTCGATTTTAGTCCCTCATTATCGTAACTGTTCTGTTCTTCCCCTCGTTTTTAGGGTGTGTACGAATCGACTTGGACAGCAAATGTGTGATCGGCTTGTTCAAAAAGTATCATACAAGTACACTACATTGTTCAGCTAAAATTCGTCTTCAAATTACACAGTCCAAATCGAAAAAAGCTTAACTTAATAAACTTTCTTCTCAAGACAAGTAAATGTGATTTTAGAAGTTACAACTGTCGTCGTTGATTATGTATACCAAGGAGTCATACTTTCAATGATTTTTTCATAAATATCTTGCATCATGATCATTCTTATGACCATAGGCGAGCAAAGGAGAACGACTTCATTCATATGTGAACACCTAGTTAAATTAGGCCATTCAGTACCACGAGATTCATCCTTTAGAGTAATTTGCAAAGTTTAATTGAACTACCCCAAAAGTTTACGTTTCCACCATTTACGCATAGCTGAAGCATTAGCTGTACATGAACAAGATCAGAAACTTTGTACTCAAAAACGTTTTGTGAAACCACTTTTTCCACCCAGGCCTTAACAATTCATTTTGGTGATTTTGTCCATTTCATTTCACTTAACTTTGGTATACTCCTCTTTTATTATCACCATTATCACCAATTTTCACTTCACTGACAAGAGCTGACCCATATTTTACTATCATATATCAATTTTATTCCTTATTCACTGACTTATTTTGCATGTTTCAGCTAAAATATCACCGTTTTACAATTCTTTGACAGCATATATCTCTTATCTCACCACTTGTTATCAATTCATCCCTTATTCAGTGACCCATTTTCTATTTCTTCCACTTGAACAAATGCTACCACCTTCACCTATTGTATATTTTACACATTGACTGAGCAACTTTTTAGCGCAATTATCTGCCATTTTACTGAGTATAAATACTACTGTAAAGCTTGATAAGGAAGTCGTTGAAAAGAAACATTGCTTCGCATATGCATTTCTTGTTCTTATTCATGGAAAATAAAAGCAAGCTAACTTATCTGGAGGTTTATTAGTGAGCATTTCATTTTATCTCAACACTTTATATCAGCGTCCTGATATTGAGTGCGAGACAGGGAAAAGCCGGCATATCAACAAACTACAGTTAGAAATACAGGTTTCGAAGATGTTATAAATTCATTTTCTTCGTGATTGCGTAAAATCAAACTTCACAAGTTCTTATATTATTCTTTAGGGGTCTCAAATAATCTCACAAAAGTACTTTCTTTCTACTTGCTTACTACTTAAATTTTGTGGTCCTCATGTATGTTTCAAGTAATAATCGAAAAATACCGCAAGCTGACTAGTAGACAAACGGATGAAATTCAATTATTTGTAAGGAGTGTCATATGATGAGAAAACATAAGACGCGTGGTCAACATCTGAATCATTCCCAGCTATTGCTATGATTAGTCATATGCAAATGAACAGTTACCTACTTTTCTTTTCACTATATCCATCATAGACGAAAGTAGGACAAAACAATAAAAAACGTATTCATCATCACTTTGTAACTAATTTCTTCTGCAAAATCACGCATAAAACGTTTATTAAATACATTTTTCAGAATCTGAATCTTTCATAGGCCTCGAGTCGACTAAAACATGTTGTTAGGCAAAAGAAAGCTGAAAATAAATAAATGTATAAACCGTTCAAAATGAATTTATGTGATGCAAAACAAAGGGGGAAAAATGAAAGAGTGATCTAGTCATATGAAAAGAAAATATTTATTGAAAGAAAGAGGAATTTCTTGTGTGTTGCGTAACGGTATTACTGTGATGAGAGTAATATGCGTTAATTAACTAGTAGTATGCAGTAGAATGTAAAGCCCAATGCTCCAAAGGTTTGCTTTCGGCATAAATTGGGGCATTTTGACGCGTTATTAGTCCTTAGTAAGTGATAAAATAAATAACACAGCTCAGAAACTCCGTACAACTTCGAATGCTAAACTGTAAACTACAATCGTAATATGAACACTCAATCATTCTACTAATCAGCTGGACTGAAATATGCAGAAGTGTGAAGCCATGACACATTGCCTAGAAGCTGACCTTCATAACATCATTTCATTGTCTACTAACGTGTACATACATGTTAATAAAGTCAAGTGAATGAACAGTTGAACAGACAATAAACTAATTGTTATTTTAGAAAATCGAAACAAAAAGAAAACTTTAATGTAGAAAGAAACTTTTGAGTAGTTCCATAGATACGAAAAGCACATTCACCTTCTTTTGAAATGCACTCATCTACTTAGTGATTTTCCTAAAATTAAAATTATTGTTGATCAAGGCACACGTTGAGATAATAAAAATACCACTATAAAAGTTAAATGGAGAAGAAATGTAAGTCCTTGATTAGTTACATATATAAGAAGAAAGTCCATTCATTCTCGATACTTAGCAGATGTAAATGCCTTCTCATAATGCATTAATGATCTTGTCCTTTTGTTCAGAAGTCGAAATTATTTTCAGTGTTAAAAGCAAATTGCCGACGATATGGTAGTGGAGCTGTAGGTTTACTTATCCTTGTACGTGTATTCAAAGGCTTCAAAAAAGATTGTACATCTTGACCACAGTCAATTGACAGTCTGGTTAAATGACTCGGTTTTTTCTCAAATATGTTAGAAACGTGTAAATCGTCATCATCGGAAGCTGATTCTTTTAAAGGTGCTGAAGATAAAAGCAAAGGTTCTGGTCCCGAACCTGTATGTGCCACTAAAACATCACTTGAAAAATGTACACTTCGACATCTTGGAGCATCAACTTCATTTGGATTTCCAACGCTAAGTCTTGAGGTTGTTCGTGGTTTGCGAGATGAAGGAAGTCTCTGCGGTGGCTGAAAATGTTTAAAACAGAAACAACTTTTATGGTTAGCCTAGTTTTTATAAGCTTCTTTCTTCGTTCATTATCCAGACTTAATGAAACACCATGGTTATAAAGAAATATATATATTGCTCAAAGTTTGTAGAAATAACAAGTGAATCTTCTAAACAGAGGAACTGAATGAGTTGCTATATTTCATCTTACTTAACTTCATCCAGTCATAAAACTTGAGTTGAATACTCAGAACAAACTCCAAATTTGTTCTTGATTTTTCGTAAATTAAACCGAGTCCGTGAATACTTCAGATGACTATCTTCTCTCATGATCCAGTGTTAAACTTATGGATTCAAGATGCATTACTGGTATAACAAGTGTCAAAACATCGAACAGATAAATATGTCACTGAGTCATCAATGAGCAATACGACTAAACATATAGGTTGAACATCTATTTCATTGATAACATTTGATTGTCAAGATTTTCGTGGTGGTCAGCAATATAAATAAATGAACACCGCTTAGTACACAGCATTCTTTTCTTTTTCCATGAATAAATCCTACAACTTCTGACGATGCTAATTTGTGTCTGAGGAAGTTATGCTTTTATCAATTCTGAATGTGTCAACATGTGCAAAAACTACTGAGTTGTGTCAGAGCTCGTTTAAGGTTAAACATTTCGGATGATATTAGCTGAAAAGTAATCAGTATGGCAATTATTGAGTACAGAATACTGTAGCAAATTCAAACATTTTTCCCCTGTTGACTTTCACTCATAACTATACTTCAAGTGACTTTGTTGCAAAAGCTTTGCATACTAGTTTCACTTAAACGAAAACCACCGGTTAATTAAAATATCAGAAATCTCATTTTTCAGATGGTAACAATTTACTTCGCATCAAATCACCCATGTACACCTCAAAACCTACTAGTTTTCTGGATTTTAATAACTATGTAGACTGTATATAATATATTTTTCTTTACTTGTAATTTAGATAACGCGTCTGGCACCATATTGCTGATGTGAATTGAAAGTCAGTAAGATAAAAACTGTTCTATTCTAAAATGTAAGTTTAACTGAGATTTCCAAAGTTTTAAACTTTTATTTGGTTATTGTAAAAACTTGCAAATGAGTCTATTCAACGAATAAATGGTCATTTGAATTACTGCTCGAAGTTTTGTGCTTCCTATTTCTTCGAATTAATTACACATAAGTCCACCTTTTCAGTAGCTACTAGCTTATCGTAGTTTTAGGATATTCTTTCTGCTTTTGGTGCGATTCGAATATAATGCGTAGGTATATACATTACACGAGAACACGTTTCTTATTAAGGAGTTTTAATGAAGAAATCAATAGTAATTTCTTTTGAAATGATAAGAAATGTTGAGCTGAGTGGCAATAAGAAACAGGCATGGTATCCGTTTCTTATCATCCCTTCTTTCACACGAAATCATATTATGAACTCAGTATACACGTTAACTTAAAATAACTTTTCTTCGGTATATTTAGAAAAATTTCCATTTCCACTAGCGGCCATTCATCAATTTGTGACTATATTAAAAATAAAAGTTTAAAATGCGTTGTATTTACGTGTCTTAAATCATTAAAATAGCGTTTAATGAATGCAGCTAGAATACACAAAGTTTTCTACAGACTCTATCACATTTTCAGAAGTAGATTATAAATATCTGTCATTTAGAATGACGTTAAAGTATTCAACGTACTAAGAGTTAAGGGATTTTTAAATCTCTGGCATCGGTTGATTTTCATTTGTCTTTATTTATCTATAGGGCCTATTCTACTTCAAAATGTACTACTTATAAAATGATATTCTCATTATAATTCTTTTTTATACAAGTAAAAAAAGATTTTATATGCTAGAATCCTAGTCTGAATTAAGCCATGATAGCTATATTTGACTCGTAAGTGGTTAAATAATAATAATCTACAGTATATTTGTCATAGCACAACTATACAATGAACATTGTGAGAGTTTACTGATCTTTCTGACCTTTTCGCTTACATTATCCACTATTCTCTGCGTAGCTGACGGGAAAGCAGGTTCTGAAGGTGTGACACGAAGAGAATGACGACGCCAAGGCTCCTTCTGGTAAGCTAGACTCGGCTGAATTTTGTATTCATTGTCTTTTGTTGGTATTAACATGCAACTAAAAGGAACAAAAGCACTGCATGTGTACAATGTGACTATAGAAAGAAGACAGTATTGAAATGTTTCGATGTCTTTTAACATACAGTTTCTACTTTCAAAATTTTTTGAAATATAACTGAGCATTATGCACAGGAGACTGAAATCCGAATGGCTACAACTGACAAAATAGGTGTCTTATAATAACAGGAATCGCTTTTTTGTAGAGAATATTTTTGATATGGTCTCGAATTCTTAGTGTGCATTAGTCGAAGAAAATTGTTTCTCCTACAATAGCTTCAGATGAAATAGTTATGGCGTCTAAATAATTTTAATATTAACAGTTTACATGCAAGCATATACGTCGCAGGTAGCCGCGTTAACTTTTCGATCGTTGTTGCAGCGGGGGCGACAATACAGGCACTTATAATTTTGGTGGTAAAGCCTCATTCAACCATTAAGAAAATCTGCATTTGCAGCTTGCTATTCCAGTAATACTTATGTGATGTATTACTGTGCATTCAGCCACCCACTAATGTCTACGCTGATGTTTTCTCTTATTTTGTCTAAGCTGTGAAAAGCTAGATTTCAGATATTCCAAATATGTGCAAGAGTATGTACCCCGATTTTCTGACATTTGAGTGATCATAACAAGTTCAAAAAGGGTAATTTGATGTAACACATTCAATGGAAAAATGCCCAACCGCTCAAAATTTAAGTAAGCTATGGACAGTTAGTCAGTTTTTGAAGACAGCTCGGTCTCACGTTTCTTTTTATTAGGTGAAATTTTGTTAGAACACTAGCTATCATGGAGCACATTCGTCGGTATTCTGTGAATAGCTACAATAAAGAGGGAACCCTAGATCTAGATTTCATTATTCCTGAGAGTCTACTCTGAACAGTTCGTCTAAGTATTCCATTCCTGAAGGAGATCAATTGTGGGTTGAGTAGCTAAAGGATAACTTTTTTGATGGTATTAGTGGTTAACGTGGACCTAGGTTTCCGGAGACTCATCCATTCCCTTGAGGTTACTGATATATCTTTCTTATAAAAGGCGACAAACACAAATCCAGTTTCGTGAAGTTCGCTAAAATTACCTGCAGTCTCTTACTAGAATGATTATTATCTACTTTTCATAAGAATCAGATATAACAGTCTCATATGGTAAAACAATGTTCGTCCTATGAGTTGCAGCGTATTCATTTTCTTCTGAGAATTTTTACACTGAATATAACGTAGTCCGAAAAGACTTGATTTAACAGACACCTAAAAGCAGTAGGTCATTAGACTAATAGCTTCACAGATTCTAAAAATAGCACCTTTTACCTCACTTATTTGTAAACAATGTTTGCTTATGTGGGTATCGAAAAACAAATAGGAACTCATAGCAAGTTGTGACCAGTGTTGTATGACAAGTGTCCTTCACTATTATTGTAACCTGCAGTTGAGCTTTGAAATCATTAACTAAAAGTTTATTCATCGTTGTTTATTCCCCTTGATAATCAAAAAAAGAAAAGCCGTGTACCAGTAAGTTGAATCCTGTGGACATGCGTTTCTGTTGATAACCGATTATATCCGGTTAGCAGTGTGGATGATGAGGTCATATATCCATTCCAGTGTTAAACGTTAATAGCGAAAATAAAGATGATGAGCATCGACACAGTTATTATGCTATAATCAGTCGATAATAATTAGGTTTAAAGATGTGATTGGTACATATTCTGGACATCATAAAAAGAAACTTCAAGGGATTTAATAGCTTAGTTGACTGGAGAATTAAAAAGTCAGGAGCTAACTGCAATTTGCATATTTTATAAAAAATGTATACAAAGTGTTTCACAATGAACATACAATGTTTTATCAACACTATGGCAGAGATATGATGGAATCTCTTCAAAATCTATCTTCCTACTTTGTACAACTTGGAGCCTTATTGCACCAAGCTCAAAGTTCACATTTTAAATAAAACGAATGAGCTTTTCTAGTTACGTATGGGGCTGGCATATAGACTTTAATAAAACAATACTGAAAAAAATTAACTTTTTAGTAGCAATAATCACTCACTTTCCTCAAAGTTATTAAATAGGAAACATGAATACCAACCAGATATCAAAAAATAAATCCCTACACACCTCAAAATTGAATTAATCTAGTGCTCATTAGTGACCAGTCTCGAAAGGTGGTTAGTGAAGTCTCACTGGAAAGTCGTGACCAGTGGGGTCAATCAATTCGGATATGAGAACACTTACTCAAGATGGCATTGGATGGAGGTCACACTATGTCGTGAAGTGACGGTAATAGAGATCGTGGACCACTAAATTCCAACCCAGTGGCACAGTGATAACGTATTGGCCGTGAAACCTGAAAGTCAGGTGTCCGATACCTGACCGGTTGTGGGTGCACCCTTCTAAGGAGGTGCATCCTAGGGCGAAACGGGTGTTCAGTGCTTCCAATTTTTCAGTATTTCTCCAGCTGGTTTCAGCCCATGGGAACACCATCCTGAAACCAATAAATTACTCCCCACAAACGTCAAAAATGAAAATATAACTAGTGATATAATACCTTGATTTCCCTGTTTGAATTTGCATATTGACACTGCTTAAATGATTATTTTCGATTGAATCAGGTGAAATACTTTCCGGATCAACTGGTCTCACAATACTTTGCAGAGAAAGAGGCCAAGTTTGAAGGCTTGGTTCATTTTCCGATGAGGATAGTTCTGCTTCGATTGAAGCCTCTGGTTCCTATAAGGAAGAATATTATTCATCCACGTAGAATAAGCAATTGATTAAATAAGTTATTAAACCACAAAACAATTTAATATGAATGTGGAACGAAACAGTTGGTTAGCATTCTATAAAAGGGAAGTCCTCGCCAGACATCATCAACATCATGAATGCATTTAAAGCTATATAAAGTTTTGATTGTACTTCGCTAATTTATATTCTTCCGTAAAAGAAACCACCACAGGAACTGTTTGGTTTCTGCGTTCCACCACTGATTAAATGAATACCCACTCTGCGTGATAAACAACATTTTTCATCACAAAGCAAAGCTTATTTTTCATTTGCCGGAGATACGTGAACAGAAGAGCGACACTTGATAGTTCCGAGGATGTTCTCGGCGAAAGTAAATGTGGTGCTTTTAGGTCATTAGATGCTTCTGAAATAGCTACATGTCAGGACGTCAACGTATGGAAGCTTTACATGGCTTAGATATGTGGTGTCAAGTTTATGCAGCTGGATTCTGGAGGCTAAGGATGTCTAAGATGCTGAGTAGGGTGGGTTGAACCTAGTTAAGCAACGACAGTAAGCATCCAAGTGGTCCTGCAGGATATCAAACAATGTAGCGTCAGTAGTTACTTAGTGGTAAACATGTTTGACAAGATTCATATTTCCAAACAAGTGGTACAGGTCCCCTAAGCACGATCGGCATAGTCAGTCGTCAAGTGTCCATCCAGGACGCCAGGAGCAGTGCAACTGAAAGGTAAAGCACTCCAGCTTCTCAATTGTGGTGGCCACTGTTATTGAAATAGTCTTTTAAGATAAGGTGTAGTTCACCTAGCGAAATGAGCGATATACAGCCTCGAGTGCCAGTGTTGATAGGTCTAGCCTTAGTTGTTTATCAATAGCCCTAAAGAAGCCACCATTGTGAAGATGTCAGCATCGTAAATTCACGGGTCAGGCATTTACAACTGCCAAGTTTCGTTCTTATATTTTATGGTGTTTGAATTCGGTCCTCGATGTGATATTAAATATTATTTAGTCCATCTACTCATATCAAGGTAACCACACAACTTCCTTAGCTTTTCCTAATTTTACCGCTTTTCACTGTTTGATCTGATTGGTAGTAGAATTTTTAGTGTATCCGGAATCGGTGTTCAGTCATTTTCATTACACATGTTAAGCATTGAATCGACAAACACATTCAGTGATCAAACTCTCGACACTTAATTACATTAGTCATCTGGTAAATAATATTTATATAGCTGCATAATATATTAAATAGACCAGGTTAACATGTAATTACATCCAGAATCTACATCTATTCTTATTCCCCCTGTTCATATATTAAAAACCTTTTTGTTCTGATATACTTTATTTGATATACTGAATTATGGTTCCTTAGTCATTTATAAAAGATTCATAATCTGGCAATTCAAAACTTATGCATTTGGCAATAGAGTTGATTAAGAAATGTAATCCATTTGAAATTTCCACATTTTCAATGAAATATTTGTATACCAATCTATGAAAAATTTTATTTGGAAGTTTTTAGAAGTAATTTTTCCAAACATAATTTATCTTGTGAAACTAATTAATACATGTAGCTTTACAACTAAGCAACATAAGGTCAAGTTGTACAAAAGCCTAAAAGATACTTTAATCTTATGATCATTCTGTACAAAGAATTTATAATGCTGACTGAACATGAAATGTCACTTGATTTAGTACTGAACTGAATACTGGACAACATTTTCCTTTTTAAAAAACTTTCATCGAAAAAATAAATTGTTAATTTTTGCTTGACTTTCAACTAAGAGGCGTAAATATTTAACTCTCAAGATAAACTTTTAATTGCCTTATATTTTATTTGGTTGAATTTCGTAGTGTAATTTATAGGATTCATAAAGTAAATTATATTTGTCTTTGAGTTCTCCTATATACAAATCCAATGGTGACCCTAGTATCTTATTCAGGAAGGAATTCGGCATCATAAATATTTTTTATACTTATTGTATAAACTACCCAACGACTACACTTTTCGAAATTTCACTTGAATTAGCCAGTCTTTGTTTTCTTGAAACTCTAGATTCTGAAAATAACAGAAAAAGCTTTTAGAAATATTCTCTTTAGCACGGTACATGTTCAAGAGGATTTGGTGCGTATAATTCGCGTTAACAACTCTATATAATTCGAAACATTTTACGAGGAAAATAACTTATCTTGGTTTACAGATTACTTGAATGCTAAATAAAATATTCTGGTAATTTCATTAGCTTCAACTGAGTTGCTAACTACTTACTACCAGTCTTTCATACCACTAACAAGAAATTTTTTGTCATAATGTGAATTATTCATACAGATAGAAGCCATTTCAACAAGTTTTTCTGTTACATCTGAGAAATGTTCATGCTCTTAGAGTAAAAAGTACATCTGTTTGCGGGATAGATATTGTCATGTTTTTCTGTCTCATTGTGGATCTAAAGCTTGAATGTGGTTGTTGCGCGCCAACTAAATGATGCAATAAACTTATATTACGTACGAGATTCTGGTGACTAACCACCTAAATCTCTCGTTAATTTGTTTGTTAGATCTTTTTTAAAGCCAAACAGTATTATTTATTCATTCATTTATTGAATAGTACAGAAGAAACATAATGCAGTTTGCTTTTGCTCTGATTATTCCGATGTTCCGATACTTATCGAAGGCTGGGGATGTCATGAATGTATGATATTTCGCAAGATTCATCTATGTGTCTTGAACTTGTTGTTCTGGGTTGTAAATAGGTACTGAATTACCATGAACCCTGAGATCTTAGATGCTGAATGCGTCAAATAATATACTAATAAGCTTCACAAAGTGAACTATTCCAGCTTCTGAAAGATTATTAATCAACAATTTTGGTCAGTCTGGTGAAAATAATACTGATTATCATAAGAAAGCTGATTTTATGAACTTATTAATGTAACGTAATAAGCCCTAGTACCTTACCTTGCCTCAAGTGTAAAGCAGTCTTCTCAACTCAAATAAAAAAGGGTGTTTACAAAGGCTTTGCTTCCTGACTGTAACTATTTGTTAGAAGGCTGAAAGAAGACATTCAAGAACCCTCTGTTTCTCAATAATAATACAACTAACACTTATCCTTTTCAGATCGCACTTTTCAGTAGGCCCAAGTAACTTCTGAAAAACCCCTAACATGAAAAATTTCTCCATCTCTTTCGTGTTCATCACTTGTCAATAAAAGTTAATATCAACCTCGATTATTGGCTCTTTATCAGTGGTCAATGAGTGAGACAGTGTCGATGCTAACAAATAGAGTTATTGCTGACCAAAGATAAGTTGATCTTGAAGACAAAATTATGGCAGGGAACCATCACTGCCAGTAGATCGGCAGAAAAATTAAAAAATATCTCTCCTTTCTACTTACCAACCTGGCCCACCTCCATTATTAATTTAATCACTTACTGATATGATAACTTTCAAACGCTCCACCTTTCATAGACATGCATACATATAGTCTAAGTTACCATCAACAGGTAGCTTCATTGATATTGACCTGAAAAACGCATATTTCCAAGTTATTCAGGATGCGTTGAAATCAATAGCACCCAGCCTAAAGTCAAGTAAGCTGTATCCAATCAGCGAGCCTTGTTCTTGCTAATAAACTTAATGCTACTCTCCAATTAGAAACTGAGTACCTGGCAATCAGATCTTCTTGTAGCGCTGAAGTGGATTAGGTCACTCATTCATTTTGATCAACGGAATTTTAGTGACCAATCAAACATGGGTTGTGTAGGTGCGTTTCGAAAACATAGTATTAACCAGTAATTACACAAAATATTTGTTTATTCTGTTATTTGTTCTAATATACTATGCCGGGACTGCAGAAGTAAAAGTACACTTTATATAACGAATCATACTACCTCGGTGCCCAAGTTTTTCAAACCATTCAGTCCATCTTTGGTCAGCATTAGTTCAAACTTTTTAACCAGTAACTCGAAATACGAGGGTCTATGCACTAAGAACTGTTGTTCGAAATGACGGAGTTTTGCGTCCGATGATCCATTCTGAAGTTAGTGCTGTGACGTTACAAAGATATAAGTAGTTTTTGTAGCTTGAGTTTTTATCATTGGTGATAGAATATTGCGTACCACCCGTAAATGAAGATAAAGGAAGAAGTAAAGAAGAATCAATCAAAGAATCACTACATAAATTTCTATACCATCCAAGGAGCTGAAACCGTTTACCTGCTGTAACATGAAAGCTCATATAATCCAAAAGTTCATGAAAGACAATTGAGATTAGTTTCTATTTGAATAGAACAGGACGAGTCTATTTATCAACAATTGCAAAACCCATCTTAAGGTGTATTTTCAAGAATTATGCCTCCTTCGTCTAAAATTCCGATTGTTGGTAACTGAAAGTTCCAAGGTGAGGTTAAATGAGTGATTTAGAGATCAGTTTTTTCTAACTCCCTCTAAAGAACCAGAAAACAGAATATCTCTAATGCTGGCTAATCAACAGAGTCGTCTTATTTCCGTTTTAATTCTGTCTAATCAGCACTATGACTTCATCTTCAGAACATCATCGCTATCAAACAGCAAGAGTTACTATCATTTCCAACACTATCCGATGCAGGTTTCATGTGCTGTTAAACATTAAGGAATTATTGTCATGACTGATGGGTTAGTAACTAGAACTAAAAATATAAAATGACATTTCAATGCAGCGGTTGGGTTTGCTGCACCAATTAGTAGTGAATAAGAGAAAGACAGGGAACTAGAAACAATACAATCGGAAGTCAAAAGAAAACAATGAGACGAAATAAATGATTGTTACAAAGAATAACTAATTACAGAGAGTTCAAAGTATCCCTAAGATATGCAGACTGGATAACCATATAAAGTCAGAAGCCGTTGATCAAACTATAGTGAACACATTTTACGCTCACTGAATAATCGCTGTGGAACAACCAGTTTCATGCTGTGTTCTTGGCCAACCAATGTTTCTCATCAAGTCCT